TAATTTACAACAGTTTTAAAATTAAATCAAAATTGTTTACACAAAATACAAAGAAATATATGAAAAACTTAAATAAATAATAAAAATAAAAACAAAAATCTTTATAATTTTTATTTTTTTATTTTTAATATTTGAACAGAAATTYTATCAAAGTGTAGTACAAAAATCAATATTTTCAACATAATTACCAGCTAACATTAGAATATTTGATGGTGGATTTGACATGTATATGACGTGGTTACATTTTTTATATAAAATAAGTTTTTTTCCCGACAATGTTTTGCATTTATTTTAAAATGTAAGTTTTGGAGTGTTTCAGAGCAATCAATCATATTATTTATTTTTTTGTATAAAAATTTTAGTTTTATTTGAAGGAAACGGTTTTCAAACGTAAATATGTTAAAAAATACTTGATTCCACTTCGTAGCCTGAATATGGTTGTACCATAATTTGGTAGTATATTTTTCATAGGTCACATTTAACATTTTTATGGAATTCAACTTGATAATTCTCTAGGAAATTCGTATTACTCTGTGGTGGCGACYCAGAATTTTTATTAATAAAATCTGAAATAATATTAAGGTTATGAATAATGATTATTTAGGTATACCAAAATAGGTACCAATTATACACTTCGTGTCGTACTGATTGGCTGACCACTCAATTTGCCGACACCGGAATTTCCGACATTAAATAATATCAAATATGATATCATAATATATAGTCAATAATGTAAAATATAATATCATTAATAATAATAYAAATTCTATATCAACTATATAAGACTATATCAATATATATATACATACATACGTGCGAGTAGACAGGACAGCTCTCCAAATTACCCACCATTCATGCGTTTTCAAAATTGTACATGTTGTATGAAAGTATTTTCTGGACCTCTTCCTGACTTCTCAGGCCGACCGGAATCCGCCGCCCTTGAATTAACGTGCCTGTCATCCGGTTGGCGAGCCGATCGGAGTCCGCCRTTCTGCAGGATGTCTCTTTATCTGTCGGGACAGTCACAATCGTGCAGCGCGCACGTTACCTTGTTCCCTTTGCAAGGCCTCATCTTCGCGTTCATCACTTTCGTTTGTCGACAGAATCGTCTCGACTATGCGGATGAACTTCTGGCGATTGATTCCAAACCATGTGATGATTCTCATTCGGGCTTGAGCGTCTTCTGGCATGTCGTGTGACTGGGGCTGCACAGAATTTCTTCCACGTCGCCTGCGTGGATCGGAAATCGCCTCATAAGCTCAGTCATTCGAGAACCGCTTTGTAGCCTACAATTTTAATTTTAAACGTTCGAAAAAAGAAATTCAATATAGTTATTCAAATTAATTAAAGTGCTATATACCTTTGCAAATGACAACCATTGATAACATTCCCTCCAAATTACATAGCTGATTACAATTTTTCTGTGATATATGAGGTCAAACTCAAAGTCTGTATGCTAGTTTTAGATTTTAGATTGTAATATTTACACATACAAATAATTTTCGTATTTTGTGAACCTACGATTTGTTGGTGAGTTGGAGCTTCTTCCATTTTTACCGGTGATTAATAGTCGACGAATCAGGCCTGATTCATACCACTTTATGTGGTAAAAAATACTAACTAATAACAATAATAACCAATCATAATTATTTGTTACACAGTTCTAACTTATAAGTTGTAGATAATTTACACATAAATAATAATAACTAATATTACAGAAGACGGATTGTTTAATTCTTAAAAATATTGAGTTATATGAGTACTAACATTGCAGTTTTATATTTGAAAATGTCAGATATGTTTCTGTAATTTACTTTCGAAACTTCATTGTTCATCGATCTTTTTTTGGGAGAAAAAGGATGCAGAAATCAAAAATGTGGTGGTTTTTTGAATATACTGCTATACATATACTATTTATTATACCATGACTATATTATGTACATTGTGTATTATAAACTGAATACAACCTTTTCTCGTCATCACAGGTTACAGTTCTGGGTACGAGGAAGAATCCCGGCCATCTCAAAGGCCGCAAAGTACCAAGAGACCAGATCCCGAGTTCGGTGGAGATGTGGACGAATATCCGGAAAGCAGCAACAACCACCGCGACAAGGAAAACCCAGCCAGACCTTCAGGATCCGACTATTCACCGCAGGATAGTCGTCCGACGACCACCGTGACRGAAGGACAGTACACGACCCGGAAGACCAATAGGGGGCCGATAACGACGTCGACGACTACGTTGCCGCCTCGAAATCCRTATGAACAACAGGGCCACGGCAACAGGCCAAACACGGTAACGTTGCAGGCCAGCAGCACCGACCCAAACAGCGACATAAACGGGGTCATTAACGGACTTTTGCAGAACCAGAACAACAGCAACAAAACTGTAATAATAACCGTTATTGAAAATCAAAATAACCGGCCGAATGGCGGTACCGATGGTGGCGGGCGACCGTCGACCGTAGACGGCGGAACTACAACCAGGCCAAATGTCAACAACAGACCACTCGGCCAGCAAACCGGCCAAAAACCCAACAGTAACAACAACAACAACCAACAAGTCAGCGGTGGCGGTAGTAGCGGATCTTATACCGGGTTGGTTATAAAATCGTGATTATGTAATTGGCTATGATAACGCATAGATTCGACAGTCGTATACAATTATAAGTTACAATACCTAAAAATTATATAAACATTCAAAATTAACTTACATTGAACTCTTAAAAAAAAAATAGTTTGTATCGAATTCATCGTGATTTAAATTAMAATTGGGTAAGTGTGAGGTCTCTTCTTTTAATTCTGGGTATAGTAATTTTATAGAAAGTGGTAAGAAKWGTAAGACTGGTTTTACTTTTAACACGTTCGACAATTTCATAGCTAGAACATTTCGAGCTCAATAGTTTTTCGGTCGTTTAAAAATCCTGTATAAGAATATAATTTTTTTAAATTGTTTTAATGTGTTAAATTTTTATTTATAGCTCATCCGTCAATTCGCTTTCATCCAGTTCCCCGTCGTGTGGTGAAGTCAAGATGGCAGTGCCACTGGTGACTTCTGGACAGTCTACAAAAAGGGGACAATGGCCCTGGCACGTGGCACTCTACTTGATCGAAGGCATCAACTTGAGCTACCATTGTGGTGGGTCGCTTGTGTCCAAAAATAAAGTCATCACTGGTAAGTTGCCTGGTTTGAACCAGTTATTAGATAATTCCAAAAAGAGTATTGGTGCACGGTTTTTTTTTTTAAAATGCCCTGGGGCTTTATTATTTAAACGACCCAAAGGTCTTTATAAATATGTTTGACAATTACACATATTTTACATACTTGACATAAAATATATAAAAGAATATTTAAACATAATTTTCTGATATTTTTGGATTACCTCCCTGTTCCCACCCACCTAAAAAATTGCATTCMAATCTTAAAGTGACCTGTTCGTGGTGTCTTTACTAAGGGGCAATATTTAGGAAATATGCAATTTAGGTGTCGCTGAAAATGGTATYTGTGTTAGTTGTTAATGGTTAAACTATCTACGAATTTGTTGCATGCGCGCACTTGTCAATAGCATGTCGACCAAAAATGAAACACGAGATTTTTTGCTCAAAATAAATTTTACACAAAAAGTTCTCACGCATCACTGAATAGTCTGRGTTAATWTTTTTCTTTTCRATAAAAAGAGGATTTTCAAGTCCGATGTTTGTACCCTATATGATGTTTTTCTCTCTGCGACAAAAAATATGTACTGATTATAATATATATACTTATGGCGATACAAAATTGTTTGAGTAAGCTGTGACTTTAATTAATATAATATTATTGGCAGTACCAGTTTATGATGTTCTATGTTTGAGAAAGCTATATTATTTATATCTAAAACATATATAGGAAATATTAATTAAACTACCTATATATGAGATGCAATTATTTTTAAATTTATTTATTTGATTTTTTATTTCTCTCAAATTATATATCTGCTATAATATACATCATGTTCACATATTTTTTTTTTAAACTTATTGTTGACAAAACCATCAAAACAAGTTTTAAATTTTCGAGTATTAATTTCTTACTATGCGATAACATTATTATTATTTTATTATAATATGTAATTTTCCCATTATTTCAGCCGCTCATTGTGTAACAAACAAACTAAACGATGCAGTTCTCAACTCAACCAAAATAGTCGTCTACCTAGGAAAATACCATCAGCTCCAGTACAGCGACGAGCTAGGCGTCCAGATCAAACAGGTGATGTTTGAGTCYGAATCCTCCGGGTCTATCGGCCATATTTTCATTGTCGATAATAAACCGATTTTTTTTTCACCACAGGTCATCCGGATAAAGATTTACCCGTCTTACAACAGCAGCTCATACTTTGGAGACATAGCTATGCTGACGCTGTCTTCRGACGCCGAATTTACAAACTATGTGACGCCGGTGTGTCTTTGGGAAGAAAGAAATGATGATTTGGACGACATCGTTGACAAAGAAGGAACAGTAAGAACAATTTTTCTCTCTAAATTGTATGAATCATTTTTCATTATAGTGTTTTGTACGTTTTATGTTATCAAACCTATCTATATGCTATATAAAATAAAACTAAACCATTTTT